TGACCATGTACTTTATGTCTGTCGGTTGTGCCGTTCTTTTTAATTTTCCTCTTTAATTAATTTTAATAAAAATACACTTAAAATACAGCACATGCAGCGAAACAAAAGCAAAAAGCTCTTTCATGTAGCTTGAAAAATTCTTATGTAGCAGAGGCAAAGATTTGAAGTGCTATCGACACGTTTGCGAATCTTCTGGACTGATAAAATTGCAAATTTCGAGGTAGTCCATCATATGAACACACTTAAATATTTCGCACATGTGAGATAACTGCAAAATTAGCTGTTGCAGAATATTAAGGGGGGAAAAATTTAGGAGAACAGAGTTAAGTAAAGAGGAAGGCACCTCCTGGCTGAAAAACCTCAGAGAATGGTTCGAAACGTCATAGATTGAATACTTTTTGGGGCTACGGAAAAATAATCTTACCTTTCTTGGGTAAGTGCCTGTACCAGACTCGTCGATTTTAATCGCAGGTTCCTTCCGCATCGTCAAGTCTAACGGTTCACTTTGGAATGAACCGCTGTTCTCTACGTTTGTAATAACATCGTGAGTCACTGCGGGATCGTCCCAAGAACTGGCCATTTTTCGTTCCAAGCTCCACAAAATGGGGTACTCATGTACTCTATATCTGTCGGTTGTGCTGTTCTTTTTAATTTTCGTTTTTAATTAATTTTTATAAAAATATACTTAAAATAAAGCACATGCAGCAAAACAAAAGCAAAAAGCTCTCTCTTGAGGCTTAAAAAATTCTTATGTAACAGAAGCAAATATTTGAAGCACTATCGACACGTTTGCGAATCTCCTGGACTGATAAAATTGCAAATTTCGAGGTACTCCATCATAGCACACTTGAATATTTTGCACCTGTGAGATAACTGCAAAATTAGCTGTTCCAGAATATTATGGTCGGAAAAATTCAGGAAAAACAGAGTCAACTAAGGAGGAAGACCCACAATGTGTCGGTTGGCTCCACCGTAGCATCTCTCTCCTCCCTCTTCGCCTCACTTATCTCCCGTTCGAAACCTTCGTGTGCTTCCCGACCGCGCACGCGGTTATGGATTC